TCCCCTTTTTTGGATTGGGTATTTAAATTGGGTGGGGGTCTGATTTTGTTTTTTCATTTTTTTACATGTTGTAGATATTAGTCCCTTGTTTGAGGGACAAGAAAAGACCTATTTCTTCATTTGGTAGAAATGACCTAAGGGCCAGTTGACCTCCTCAAATCCTTCTACAAGGCAGTAATACATTAATGAGTGCAGAGTTTGGCTTCATTAGTTTTTCAAAAACCAGCCTCCACTTCATGCCACCATAATGGAGATGTTCAGTGTGAATTTTGAATGGGACACATTCAGACAATAGCATTAAAGGTAGTTTTTGTTTTAAACGAAACAAAACATCCAAACCAGAGGTAAGAGTACTGGGAACTTTTATTTCTAAAAGTCAGAGAGTAAAAAGAAAGTAAAAAACAAAACAAGACCAAGAAGGGCTAATCTGACAACAGTAGCAAACCGTGGATGTTCCGTTCTATTCTCCATCAATAGTGTCCACCTCAAAACTGTGAGCAATGTTTCAAAAGATAGAAACAGAAGTAGCCCTGAGATTGTGTGACTTTTGTCATTCAAAACGTTTTTTAAAACAAAGTTTTAAATTGTGGGGCATTGAGGGCAAGAAAGATAGAAGTTGAGAAATCCAAATTTTTATGTTAATTTATGTTATCACATTCAGTAGTACTATGTGAATTTTTTTTTCTGTCTATAGTTTTTAAGCTATGGTAATTAATTAGAAGCAGACTACTGTGCATAATTTTATCTAGGATTTTCTTTGAATTTCTAAGTAAATTAGATTCTGAAACATGAGTATTCTTCTATTTTCAAGGCAAATTAAAGAGCTAGGGGCGAACAGTTTAATGGATATACTCTCACTAATTTAATTTACAATAATTAAAATAATTTAATTCTTTGTGAATGATTATCTACTTCAAGTAAGCATAAGAATATTTTAGTTACTATCACAGATTTTTCTCTAACAGCTCCACTGAGCTACGGTAATATACAGTAAACTGATCATATATGTATGATTTTGGTATGTATTATTTGATAACTTGTAGCAAATGTATATACCTGTGAAACTATCACCAGAAAGAACTGATGTCTTCCTTCCAAATGGTTCTGACTGTGTACAATGCTTTTCATTTTTGTCCCCAGGTGATTGCTGATTCGGTCTTTGACACTGAAGATCAGTTTGTATTTTCAGGAATTTCATACACCAGAATGACATCAGTTTTACAGTATATACTGTAAAATTTTTGAAACTCAGTAGTTTGTCTATGTTGTGGTCTGTTTTTACAGCTCATTTCTTTGTTTTTGATGAATTTATTTTATGGATGTACCACACTTTCCTTATTTGCCTATTGATGGTCATTTGGGTTATTCTCAGTTTTAAACTATTGGAAAGTAAGCTATTGTGAACATTTGTGATGTCTTTGGGCAGATATATACTTTATACCAGTGTTCTCAAATTATAAAACTATCATATGAGATTCCTTAAATTGTGACAGCATAGAAGGAATGTTAAAATATCACTCCACAGTTATTTGATCAAATTTCTACAAAACATTTTCATATGATTATTATATGTACAATAGCACAATCTGAGCCATTTAAATTTACTTTTCCTCTCTCTATAATTCAGAAATATATTTTCCCATCTCTTAGATACAGCCTGTCTGTGTCTAAGAAGCTGCCCCTGGGTACTAAACAGCCTGTGTTTTATTCTGTTATTTAATCACTTTACCTAAATCTGACTCAGTTTGCTGAAGATTCCTGTTTGGTTAATCTAGTCTATAATTTTGTCATCCATATGGGACTTCCCAGCTTTCATAGCTCCAGATACTAATATGCAGCCATTTTCTTGCTTGGGTCACCAATGTCTGACAGCTTTGACACAAATCTGCAACTGCTTCCTCACTGTTCACAATTTTATGCTGCTAGACAGACCTTTGCTGTCTGAAAACTGCATCCTAAGTGCACGTTTCTTTGCATTTTAAAGTCCTGGGCTCTAAATCTGGTTCATATGTTTGGAGTCTTCTCTCTGTGCCATTTGAGCCAATCCAAACTTTAATGTTTGGGTTGATTTTCTAGCTTGCTTTTGGGAACCTGGCTTCTCTTGGCTGTTGAAGGACTACAGAATACAGAGCTAGCTGCCTCTGCTTTGCAACAGTCTTTGTTTCTAAGAATTAAATCACTTGGTCCTGCATGTAAATTACTCTGGGCCTGCTACTGCTGGCGCCATCTGCTGGTAATAGACAAAATTGACACATGGTGGTTCTGTTGTGTATTCATATTTAGTCAAGATTTTAAGTTAAAATCGGAAGTAGAAGAGTTTCTAACTGTTATGTACCTCTAAATTGTTCCAGTGGGTTGGTATTAACCTCCCTTTTATTTGGTTTGGCTATACCAGACTCCTTTCTGTTTTTCCAATACACTTGTCTTAGGCCCACTTTAGGTTTTGTTGCCCCTTCTTGTTAGAATTCACTCACATAGATCTTTGAGCAAAATGACTTCTACAACAATCACATCTTGGCTGACATTATCTCTGAGAATCTTTCATTTACCTCATTGTATCCACTCACTACCCAACCATTATCTTACTCATGTATTTTTCAGTAGCATTTACTGTTTGCTAACTTTCTTCATTCATGTATTACTTGCCTGTTGGCCTCCAATTCACATCCATGTGTAGCTTAAGCACCACAGGAGCAGGGAGCAAGGATCTCAAAAGGCATAACAAGGCAATACCTGCATCAAGCAAGGGAGATGCTCAGTAAATATTCGTTGTATACATGAATGCACACATTATCTCTTTCTTTTTAAAAGTTAAACATTTTTTTATTAGTATATGTTAGTAGCTCATAATAATTACATTCCTCATGGGGAGTTGGTACATGTACAGAGCAAATCTGAGTTCTTGTTACTTTCTCCTCCCCTTCGCCCTCTCTTTTTGTCTGTTGCAATCCTGTTTACCTTTTGAAGTCCAATTCAAGTACCATCTTTTGCAAGAATCTCTCCACCAAAATTATTTTCATTGCCCTCTCATTGAGCTTTTTATTCTTACAATTTTCCTTCGTGTTATAGCTGTCATGCCTTTGTTCTTCATTATAATAGAGGAGAATGCAGGGGACATAGGAGTATTTGATTTTAATATATGGTTTTTATTGAGATCAGAGATAAGTGAAAATTAACCTTTTTTGAGACTGATTGTTATTTTATTCTTTCAGTTATTTTGAAATATTTAATGTATACATAGGAGAATAAAAAATAAACCATTACCCCTGTGCCCATTGCTAGTTTTGAAGTGACCACCTCCATCCCTTTCTCATCCTTCCTTTCCGAAGCAAATATGATCATGAGTTTAGTCTTCATTGGTGTTCTATTTGTGAGTTTTTATGTGCATTTTGTCACTATAAACTCTCTCCGTGTTTGTTCACGTGTCTGTGAACACACAATCTCCATATACCTACTTCTCTGCCTTCTTGTTATTCTGCTTCTTGTTACGTGGTATATTGCATGGGTCATTTACTCCTTACCTCTCTCTTCCATATAACGTTTCTCAGGTTGCCCATGTTAGTATTTGTGGTATTAGAATTTAGTGGTAAGATAGCATATTTTGATTGGTGTACAGTACTCCTTTACACAACACTTTCATAGTTTCTTTGCCCATAATCTTCCCCAAAGAGATTTAGTTTTCCCTCTGCACTTTCACAAACAATGGTACCATAAGTATTTTTGTACAGTCCCTTTGTGATATCCTGGGGAATTATTCCAGGCTTATATTGAGATGTAGAACTTCTTATCTGGAGACTGTGAACATTACGTCATTATGATTAAGGGAACAGGTACAGGAACCATGTTCCTGAATTCATATCTGTGCCCTTCCACTTGCTAGCTTTCCCAGGAAGCAACGAGCACACTAGCTACTTTCATCCTTTTTTTGTGAGTGGGCACGCCCTACCTCAACCCCTGGCCTCAACCAGTTACCTTGGCTTTAGTCCGCTTGGCGCTTGTGGGCGCTGCAGGAGCTAATTCCCAGTTGCCACTTCCTGCTTCTGGTGCCAGGACCCAGCAGGCTTGTGACTTCACAGGCAATCACCATTTTGCATTTCTGCACCACTTTGGGCCCATGGAGAGATATATTTTTGAGCCTGCAGATGATTTTAGTTTTAATATTTTATTTATCATTTCTGTGTGTCAAGAGCAAAGGGAATACATCAGAGCATGAACTTTTTGTCATCATAACCAGAAATTGATAACACTTTTACAGCCTTTTAAAGTAAGCACCAATTTTAGAATACCCTAATCATAGATATATATATTTTTGAACTGGAAGGCATTTTAGAGATAAGGCTGGTAACCTTATTTTATAGGTGAGGGAATTGTGGTCTCAAGAAATTCAGTGATGTATTGATGACATGTATGTAGCTGATAGTGGCAGGGCTAGACCAAAGTCCCTGGGTCTCCTCTACAGTTCTTCTGTCATATCACAATCAGCTTTCTTTATAAACTAAATTGTCATGCAACATGTTAGTTTAAACAGACCTGGAAAAATACACTAGAATTTAAGCAATAAGAACAATGACACTACATTTTTAAACTAATATAAACGAAATCTTTTGGAACATATTGAAGTAAAAGTAAGAATGTAGTATTTCTTGCACAGAGCTGAGCATATTTTAATTAGAAGGCACAGTGCCTTTGCCTTGGTGGGGTCCTGCTGCATTCTGAAACTTATAGGATGAGCCCATCAATAATGGTACTGATCCTTCCAGCTACCTACAGTGCCAGGTCTGAAAATGAACTGTAGTGAATGATATGAACAGCATTTAGAGTGATAGCCTGTATTTCTGCTGTCATGTAGAAATAGCAGTTTGTTTAATTTAGAAAAAAGAAACTTCTATGAAAGAGCATGCTGCCCTTCAGTTAGGATTTCTGGAGATTTTGTACGTTATAAAAATATAGAATCTAGTATCTTTGTTAAAGTCTTTGGAACTGTTTTATTCTATTTCTAGATCTTTTAGCTGTGCCTAAGCATCCATATGCTGCTATGGAGAATTGGGGACTAAGTATTTTTGTGGAACAAAGAATACTGCTGGATCCCAGTGTTTCATCTATTTCTTATTTGCTGGATGTCACCATGGTCATTGTTCATGAGATATGTCACCAGGTATGAGAAAAAAGATCAGGTATGAGTATAATGCACAAACTATTGAGAAAGTAGAATGATTTCAGATACCTAAATTAGGAACTAAAATATCTTCCCTATTAAGTTTTATTTGAAGCACTGTGTAGCTTTTTTCTGGAAGATGCATCATTTTTTCTCAGATGACAACACAAACAAAAATGAATGTACAGATCAATTTCAATAAGCAACTGTCATTCAGTTTAGGATGGCGAACTAACAGTTGTCCCTTTGGAGCCTCTATCTGGTTGCTATTTCTTATCAATTTTGCTTTATTTGCTTGTGATTATTACTGTGCATATATTGTAAGACTAGTGATAGCAATGATTTATTGCACTGTTGCAAGATGTAGCTGAGTTTTGTGTATGTGTCAAAATTCGCTTTTGCTGAAATCAATTTGTTATTCCCCCTGTTCCATCACGTAGACACTTAAGAAGTCTTTCACTAACTTAGCTGTAGACTTTTTGTTCTCAAATGATTGATAATTTTTTCCTTGGCATGTTTAGAAATTCGTATGTAAATTAGGCAGCTTGGTAGCTAAGCCATGATAAAATTAATTTTATTTTGTTTTATGTACTTTCTCACAAGTGGAAGGTACCAGAGAAATGTTTTGCAATGCTTATCTGAATATTGAGTTTAGTGAAAAAGAAGCCCACGTAAAGTAAATGCTCTTGCTAATAAAAGTAGTATCTGTCCTGGTTATTAGTAACTATGGATAGTTTTTGACTTGAAACACCAGCAATGTTATTGTGATCTAGTATGACTTCAATATATTGCAAATCCAAATACTTTTATGGACACTAGAACAACTAAAGGAACAATAATAAAAAATGGAGCACTGTTGAATAAATGTTAATTAATGAAAATGACTTAAAGATGAATTGGTCCAAACTGTATGATCATTTACTTAAAGGTCACCTTTTTGTAGTGACCCTGTAAATTGTACCTGTTACACTGCCTAGGTCAGACATGTTTTTCTTACCTCATAAGTAATAGGGAATCCTTTACAGATAGAAACTGGAGCTCCTCTTCTATGCTAATGAGAGTGGTTTCCTCTTAAACTTACAATTTTTTGAGGCAAAGAAGTTATACTTTTCGAAATTCTTTTTAAAAATTTTTTTTGAAATTCTTGTAAATGACAAGTTAGATGTGTTCTTATGAAATGAAAGCACATTGATAATGTTACATTGTTAAGAAAAGAATTTCATTTGTTTTATAATTTAAGGTGCTTTGTGTAATAGCTTAGTAGTGCCATGTTATTTACTGTAAAGGAATCAACCAGAAGCTAGGAGAAATACTTCTAATAATTTTTACAATCATTGCCACATTCATTTCTATGCCACCTATATCTTATCTGTATGATGATTCTGAAGACAGTGCAGTTTAAAAAACATGCATTTTTAATAAAAAAATAAGAAAGTTAAATATATGTTATTTTCATCAACATATTTTGAGCTATTTTTTACTTATATTCAAAGAAACAATACTATATTAATATTAAATAAAACTCAGTCACTAAACTCATTACTGTGGCTCTTAAAGCTGTTTGTGATCTGGTATCTGTCTGGCTTTCAGGAATTTTTTCACCCTGCTTTCCTCTTATTTTGCTATAATCCAGACTGATAGGTCTTCTTCTTCTTAAATACCTGATTCCTGTGTAGGGTTTTCACACTGTGAGTTACTTAAGTCTGCCTGGAATCCTCTTGCCCAAGGCTTTCTCATGGCTGACTTCTTACCATTAAAGTCTAAGCTCAAAAAAAAAAAAAAAGTTTAAGCTCAAAATGTTACCTGTGAAAACAGAGTATTTTTGCTTCTAACACGCCAATAACAGTCCTCTTCTCTAATACTCTCTTAAGATATGAAATTATGATGCTCATTTGCTTATGTAGTTTTTACTTTCTGCCTCAACTCTTCTCTACTTCCACAATAAATCACCTGCATGAGAAGCGACATTATCAGCTATTCATTATCAAATCTTTAAATCTTAAAATAGTCTCTGGCATGTAATATAAGCTTTTTAATGAAATAAAAATAAAAAGAATTTCTTAATATTTTCCTAGGCTAAAATCATGATTTAATTAATACACCAACTAAAATTTCAGTATTATCTTTCATGAAGTTATCTTTTGGCCCAAACTTACATTGCCATAGATTATGAAGGGTCAGATGTGGAGGACCACAAAACATCGCAGTTGGACCTACTGGTCAGTCTTCTCTGAACTGTCTCTGTTGAAAGCTGATGCGTTAGTATCTGCAGTGACCAGTTACTCTCAAGATAGTATTTTCAAACTGGGCATCTCAGTTGGTTTGAAGATTTTCTACATTTCAGCAGACATTTCCATCCATTATTCTCAGTTTGTCCGTTCTAAGACCACAAAACCAAACCAAACCAAACCAAAAATTAATACAAAGCTTCCCTTATTTTACACATAAGCCTCAGACATTTGAAGACATTGCTCATCAATTTTTTTTTATCTTGAGTCCTTTCTTTGCCTCATTAAATGTTATTACTGTGTTCCTGATGCTTTTCTTACTGTTGTTCTTCCCTGAATGCATTTGTAAAAAACTAGTGTCACACAGGTAGTCAAATCAATCAATAGTCTTACCACGATACATTTTAAAATCACAAAATCAATTACAAAATGACTCCCAGTTATGATAATCATAGTTTACACTTAATTTTAGATACAATTGTTCTAGATAAAGTGATTATATCTGAATCCCATCCATTTTGTTACTGCAGTGGTTTGGTGACCTTGTAACGCCTGTGTGGTGGGAAGATGTGTGGCTGAAGGAAGGTTTTGCTCACTACTTCGAATTTGTGGGGACAGACTATCTCTACCCTGGCTGGAACATGGTAAGCACGCTTTCATCTGATCATTTGGAACTCTCAAATGATATTAGATTTCTTTATGTAGATATCACTGACATATAAAAATTTGTATGTATTAATGTGTACAACTTGACGAGTATTGACAAATTTTGCACCCCAAATCTCATCACAATCTATCTCATAAGTATAATTGTTACCTCTACAAGTTCCTTCTCATCATCTTATTTATTATTATTTTGTGATAAGATCAGTTAACATTAGGTGTAACCCTCTGAAAATTTAAAGTATACAATGTATTGTTATAGATCATAGGCATTATGCAATACAGCAGGACTCTGGGACTTACACATCTTCTGTGTTTGAAATTCTGGGTCCTTGTCTAATAGTTCACATTTCCTGCTCTTCCAGCTTCTGGAAACCACCTTTATAATCTCTGTTTACATGAATTCAACTAAATTAGATTCTTCATATGAGTGAGATTAATTAATATTGGTCTTTCTGTATCTTGCTTATTTCATTTAGCATAATGTCCTCAAGGTTCACCCACATTGTTATATGTGGCAGGATTTATTTTTCCTCTATGTTTAAGGCTGAAGAATATTTCATATTATAACATATGTTTTATATATATAATATTCTTTATCCCTTTTTCCATTAATGGTTGGCTTGCTTCCATGTTTTCATATATTTTTACACTGCTTTCTTTTGATGTTCTAACTCATTAATAATTGTTAGTTTATTGTTGTCATTCCAAGTATAATTTGAAGAGCTTGTAAGCCAAAATGAAGTATGAAGCCATCTATAAGACATCATATAACTTCTCTACGTCAGATTCAATTGATTTTTACTGAGCAAACAATGTTAAATTATTTCACAAAGGAGAATTTACAACAGTAATACTATGTGAAAATATTTAATTATGTGCATGCTGTTTTCCTCATATTTTGAAAAGGCCACATGGTTCATTTATCTGGGTATGTGTGTACATAGAATGCATTGAAATTAATTGCTGATATTAAAAGTAATTTAAAATGCATTTAAAAACTTTGAAAAACCCACTAATACCGTGAACACAATATTTGAAGTATTATTTAATGAGAGTGAATTTTTAAAACCTAAAATTTTAATTTTACTGAAACATTTCCAAAAGTATCTTTTGGGTTTTAGATGACTTTGAAGCAACTTTAAAATTTTCATTATGATGTGGATTGTTACTGGTTTATAATTTCATTATGTCTTAATATTAAAAGATATTCTCCTTACAAATAACATGTTACTCATTGAAGTTTTTTTTTTTTTTTTAGTTCATGCATCACTTGTGGTAATATCCTTTTTTATTCATCATTATGAAAAGTCCATCTTGGACTAAAAGCAATCAACAAAATTATACAACAGAATTTTAATTGAGAGTTTTTAACCATATATATATATATATATATATATATATATTCTAACCATATATCATCAGTTTCAGTGTCCTTTTATTTTTGTCTTTGAAGAATTCTTTTCGCATTTCTAACTATTTCATCAGTTAAATTGTAAATTTATGTTCTAGAGAAAGTTTTTCAAAAGATATTAAAAATGAATGTAGAATATAAATAACATATTGAGATTTCTGTCTTTTAATAGAACACAAACTATGTACTGGAGGCTTAAAAGTCTTGGGATGATTAAGACATAAAATTGTATTTATTAATATTAAGAAATGAAAGTTAATGATGACACAGTTACAGTAACACAGAAGACTCACCCTGTCAAGCTAATAAATGAAAGAATGAATTACATCACAATTAATTAGATAATTAACACTGAGGGGAAAACAACTATTATTGTAGTGTCTATGTTCAGGTTGTAAGACTACAAATGCTTTCTGACCTTTGATTACTTTGCTTTTCTAACAGCTTCCTGTAACTTGTGGAATACCACCTTCTACTGTATTCACAAAGTGTAAATTGAGAAACTCCATAGACAAATTGAGTTTTTATGTATCTTTAATATCTTCTTTGTAAATAGAATTTTAAGTGTAATGCAGCTATATAAATAAGAGAGGATATTAAGTGACTCTAAGTCTGGGCCAGCACTGTTTTTCATAGTAGCATCAGCAAGAGTGAGAGAAATGAAAGTATGTGGCTGTGTCAGGAGCAGCTCATGCTCCTGTGATACATACAGAAACCTATCTATGAGCGTATGGCCTGAGTTTCAGCAGACCTGAGCCTAAAATAGAAAAACCAGAATTCAGGCTCATGTCAGGAGTAAAGAAATTCAAGAAGTTGACCTCTTTTGCCTCTAATCTCAAAAACAGTGCTTTTATCATTTTTAGACACCAGAGCTCAAGTTCTGAAATGCAGTTTCAATTTGCTAGGGAGATTACTGTGACAATCTGCTTTCCATGGAACATCAATAAAGAAGCCCCAAATTACACGGTATTGTTAGGAAGCTCTTGCTTTGATTCAGATGAATATATTAACTGCTTAACAGTTAGTGAAGAGTTAGGTTGTCTAGGGATGGCTGTGTTTTCAGAGCCACTTTCTAACATAGAAGTAATCAGTTTTACATTGGGGATACTACAAGACATAAACATATTTTTGATAATATTTTCCCCAATAAACTAATTGAGTTTGCCGTTTTATAGATATTGGTAGTATGTACGTGTGGGGAACGACTCAGATTCAGATTGGTTTAAGCTCAGGGGCATCTTAGGACACCTGAGGACATGAGCTCACTTGTCTTGCACAGGCACAGTTATGTAAACCTGACTTAGCACAGGTGAATATGCATGCACTGGTTACAGTGCTGCACAGGATTGTAAATATGAGATAACGCCTTCTATAAGAATTACACACTAAAGATGTAGGACTCTCTTGCTGTTGCTCTCTGATCTGCTCCATGCTGTCTGCTGTTGTTGCTGATTTTTGCACATGTGTGTTCTTTAACCTTGGGACCTCACCTGTGAAAATCTCCCTTGAGCACCCCAAGTGGGTTGACAGCTGGCATAGTCAGCAGTATATTGAGGTGCGTGGTCCCATGGGGGCTGTGAAAGCAGTGCCTGAAGGCAAAGGAGAGCTCCCCGGGGACCCTAGCCTCACCATGACTACCTGTAACCATCTTCTCAGCAGCTTGGAAGGCCCTGGAGGACTGCGAAACAGTCCTTTTGGAGCCCAGGGATGTCTTGCAAAATTTGGAAGCTACAGACAAACAAATTCCTTCCGCTCACCATGAAATGGTGGGACAGATGGCTTGGCTGTTTTTCACTCTCTGGTTTTGCATGCTAGGTCAACTATTTGTTAAAGAGCAGATTGTAGAGACACCCCTATCCTAGGGCAGAAGACTGGGAGGGCTGCCTGCTCTACCCCGCACACGGCATACACTGTCTATAAACCATAGATCTGCAGCCAGCAGGACAATTAAGACAAAAGGTGGGTAAAATAGTGCCCATGTGGCTGCTATGCCTGTGGGACACATGAAGGATATGTTCCTGGCGAGCAGGCCAGCTGGCACGTTTGGGTCAGTGGCAGCCCTTTTAGCCCAGTTTATAGATCACCCAATCCACGATGCTATGGATGCCGTGGCCAAGGTGAGAGATATGAAACTAAAGTGCTGAGGTAAGGTGAGATCTGCAAAACATGTACTGACAAATGAGAAAAAGGGGGCGCCTGTGTGAGCGTGGCTGCCCCCTAAAGGACAGGCTGTGAAACCCTGAGGGTCGGTTGGCACAGATCAGGATAAACCTTCTGGTTGCCATCCTAGCTGCAGCTAAGTTAGACTGGCAGCCTTCAGATGTGTTGCTGACTCCGTGGAGGCTGTCACACCCTGAGCAGCAATACGAGCTAATGGGCCAGGGCCAGAAGGCCAAAGCAGCCCTGGTGAATCAGGAAGAAGTGATACTGGCCTCCTTTTACCCCAGTTAGGAGATAGGCCAAGGTACCCAGGTCTTGGGGATCCCAGGTGACTGGAGACCACATATGGAACTATTTACTGTTCCCCAAAGAATGTGCAATGTGTACTAGCACTGCTGGATTCTGGAGTTGAGTCATTGGTAATGTATGGCAGCATGGACAGTTTTACAGGAACTATTGCATACATAGAAGTGTACAGAGGTCAGTACATCTCGGCCGGGAAAGCCCAGGTGATGTTAGGTATCGGGCACTTGTCCCCACACCTGTACGATGTTTATGTTTCCCCAGTTGCTGAATACACACTGGGGGTGGACATCCTTGCCTGGAGACCACACAGGCAGAATTTGGGTTGTGAATTTGCATGGTAAAAACTGTAGTCTGTAATCCCTTCAACTCCCAAATAGCCCATGTAGAAGCCAGATGAGTCATGGCACATGACTGTGAAGTCTCACCCCGAGCTGGCAGTCAGGACCAATTTGCCTTCACCTGGGAGGACAGGCAATGAATTTTAAAGGTGTTACTGCAAGGCTGTTTGCATAGCTTTAACTTTGTGAAATGGCCTGGTGGCCCAGGATCTTATCCCCTGGGTCAAGCCACACATTTGTCACTGTTTTGTGTTGATGATATTATGTTAACCTCTGACTGCCTTGCAGATTTGAAATCTGCCATACACAGTTTGAAGGAAGCTTTGCTGACATGGGGGTGGGGCGTGGACAAAAACAAGGTCTAGGGAAGTGGCTTTTCTGTCAATTCTTGGATGTTACATGGTTGGGTAAGACCAGAACTATGACAATACACCATTTTCAGGTGTAGATGATCTTATTAGGTTTTTTGGTGGTTGTGCCACAGCTAGATACCCTTCTGTGCTCTTTATGCCAGATGACCAAAAAGAGCACAACATGGGTAGACACCGCAGAAGCTGCTTACTGGGTAGGTGCAATGGAAGCTGCTTCTTAGGACTCAAAGAGGGCTGCTGCATGGGGCAAGCCCCATGGGTCATTGACTCTAACTTGCCATTTATTCTGTCAGTGTGGATGATGATGGATTTGGCTGGTGCCTATGGCAAAAAAGCACCCTGCTGCGTTTTGGTCACAGTTATGGAAGGGAGCCCAGAGCTGGTATTCCCTG